CGGACAGCCGGTAGCATCAGGGACCATGCCAACAGGACCAATCCCTGTGCCTCCCCTCAGGTCCCCTCCCCTATGAACATCAGCAGACTCTGCTAAATGCCAATCGGGGGACCCAGTGGTCTATCTCTAGGTGGCGGGCGCCAAGCATGCCCAGGAAGGTACATGAGGCTAATGGGGATTGAACCCACGACCTCCTGAATGCCACTTGCGAGCCTTACCAACTGAGTTAGGCCGCTGGATTGTCAAGCAGAGATGCAGAAAAGCAGTTCAATTCTCGAAAAAAAAAAAGGAAAAAAAAAAGCAGTTCAATCTCTATTTCCTGCACATCTCCATCAACTCGTCCAGATTCGGGCATTTGATCCGATCCTCTTTGCTAGTGGGACCACGCCCCTGGAGGTTCTCTTACCACCGCCGGGGGCAAGGTCCCACTTGGGCAAATTAGGAGATTTCGGCCGTTGATCTTTGCTATCTACGGTCACTATCTCTTAATTCGTGCAAGTGGGACCTAACCCCGGGATAGAGGCCTTGCACGAAGGCCTTTGAAAAAAAAAAAAAAAACCCGACCAAAAAACCCAAAGAAAACCGATGGCGGGAGAGGAGAGGGAGAGGGAGCGGGAGGAACAGTCGTGTATTCGCGTTTCCCCCTCTGGGCCTCTGCTAATCTTTACACGTCGGGGGCAAGGTCCCACTTGCACGGATTAATAGATTCTGGCCGTTGATCTTTGCTATCTACGGTCAATATCGCTTAGTTTCGTGTAAGTGGGACCTAGCCCCAGATCTGTCAACCCCGCCTTACTGTAGTAGTACAAGTAACGATAGGGAGAAATCCTGCTGGCAATGGGCCCACGTGTTAGTGCCGTGGTGCTCATGGTCATCCATCACATCATATTCTAGGAGCCAACTGATTTCATTACCAATCAATCAATCAATCAATCAATCAACCAATCAACCAACTAATCGTTATCAGAAGCACTGCTGCGGCCTGGGCAATGGGCTGTTGTAGTCTCTATCCACTAGATGTCCGGAGGTGTTGTCGGATCGAGTGGGGTTATATCACTGTCATCATTGATTGTAGACAGCTGATAGCTCGGCGATTAATAGTTCTAGCACCATCGTCTCATTCTTGTCAGCATGCATTTGACCGTAATCCTGTCCAGGGGGGGGTCGGCGAAACGATACTTTGTCGGTTGCGCACGTGTCAGTCTCGGAGATTCACATGCTTCAGCGAGTGTTTGCCGGGGCTGTGTGCAGCTGATGTGTGCGACATTCATCTGGCCGCGGTGTGCGACATCTGTGCGCCAGTGCACCAAGGTCTAAACGGACGCACCGAGTGTGCGACACAAAACAACGGTGCGGCAAGCCGTCTTTTTAACCGTACCTTCGGTACCTCAGGCCACACCCACAGCTGTGCATACAATACATAAACCAGTGCTTGTGCGAGTAGGAACATGGACGCAATTTAGGGCTGGTGGGTACACACGCCGCAGTATGCCGTTGCAGCTGTGAAGGCAGTTTGGCGCGCTTGTAGAGGCCGCACAAGCGGGCAAGTAAACTCGGTTCGGTTTTGTCGCACAGACCGACCGGCGGGGGCAAAGCAGGCAAAGTCGGACTTGTTGCACGGACAGGGTACCGCCAGGTGGCATCGGGTCTTCCCTGCTTCGCCGCACATACGAGGAGCCCCCAGCGCCATTGGTGTTGTCGAACTCCTCTTTTTTTTTTTTTTTTTTTTTTTTGTTCTTTTTGGGAGTTGTCGACCTTCCCATTTCATTTGAAAAAGGAAAAAATTCAAAAAACAAAAAAGGAAAAAAAGGAAAAAGAAAACGAAAAAAAAAAGCATCGGTATTGTCGAACAGACGGAAAGGACAGAGGGGGACTCGATCGACGCGGTTTTTTCTTTTCTTTTTTGTTTTTGATCGGCGCACTTTATCTCCTCCTTCCTGAACGGAAAGGACAAGGAGGGGTGGAGGTGGCTTTAGTGAACAAGAAAAAGGGAAAAAGAGAGGACAGGGAGTCTCCGTTGCGGCACTTTGTCGCCCGGAAGGGTCCAAAGTGGTGGGGGTGAGTGATCGCAGCGCGGCATCGAAAGTTTTGGTCGTGCAGGTACGACAACGGCGGGGTGGCTGCGGGGTCCCAGCTCGTCGCCCAGCACGGGGGAATAGATGGGGGGAGCGGGGGAAGGGCGGGCAGCGCGCCGACGGCAGCGGAGGTCGTTTGCGCCTCGGAGGGGAAGTGAGTAGGGAGCGCACCACTTGGCGGTTTCTGGAACAATTGGTACAAGCGTGGGTGGGTGGGTGAATGACAATCTGGCGGGGGGAAACGCGATCCCCCCCACATATTGATTGGATTGCTGCCAGCTCGGCCACAGAACTCTGCGGAAGTCCGTTGTGCCTTTCATAGGGAGGAGTTGGAGATGGATGCTTGCGTGGTGTTGTCTTATGCCTGTTGTCATCGAGAGACTGATGGCAGACGGGAGGACGTCGAGGAGGAGGACAGGCCGGAGGGCAGGTCCGTCGTTGTGTCTATCTACCACGTTGTTTGAGATTTGAATTGAACGAGCCCATCAGCTGGTAAGGGAATCGTAATCCTCCTCCCCTCCTCCTCCTCCTCCTCATCATCATCATCATCAGTATCGTCATCATCAGCAGCAGTATCATCATCATCAGCAGCAGCATCGTCATCATCAATACGACATCGACATACGAAAAGAAATCAACGTAATATATAGGCATCAATGTAGGAAAAGGGAGGAGGGGAAAGAAGGTGAAGTGCAAGGAAATAATAAAAAGGACGAAGGAGGAGGAAGGAGGAAGAAGGAGAAGGAAGGAGGAGGAAGGAGGAAGAAGAAGAAGGAAGGAAGGACTTAGGACAAGAAAGGAAGGAGAGAGAAGGGGGATGAAGGAGTAAGAAAAAGGGGGAGGAGAGGGAGGGAGGAAGAAGCAGAAGGAAGGAGCAGGAGGAAGGAGGGAGACAGCGAAGGAAGGAGGACTTAGGACAAGGACGAAAGGAGGAAGGAGGAAGGAGGAGGGAGGAGGAGGGAGGAGGAGGGAGGAGGAGGAAAAAAAAAAAGGCAGAATCACGAGTTGTTGGAGTGACGTGGGTAGTTGAGCCTTTACATGGACCAGTCTGGCAATGGTACGTTATGGCGAAAAATTGAACGAACGGCAAGATGCAGTTGGAAGGGGGGTCTTAGGCGGAATTGGGGTTCTTAGACGGAATTAAGGAATTTGAGAATGTCGTGTGGAATTTCGAAAATTTTTGATGTAGATCTTGTTGAACCAGTCGCTGAGTAGTCGGAATTTGGGAAGTTTCGATCGAACTTTCGATCGAAGTTTCGATGGAACGTTCGTAGAAGAGGAAGAGTAGGAGTCGTCGTCGTCTTTCGAAAAGGGGATCCCGACTGCGGTCTTTATATCGGTATATGATTAACGATAACGCTCGCCGGTGTTGACGTCGATACCGTGTCAATTTTTTTTCCTTCCCTTTTTTTTTTTTTTTTTTTTTCCCTCTTCTTTTCATTTTTTTTTTTTTCGTAACCGTGAATTTTCAATTTTGTTTGAGGGTTCAAGTCAAGTCAGACCTTCGTGTGTCCGCGTGATTGTAGGCACTTCTTTTTTGTTTTTTTCGTCGTTTTCTCCGCGTAATACAGTAGAGTATGCGCTCTCTTTTTTTTTCTTTTTTTTCTTTCTTTTGCCGGTTTGTTTTTCAGGTTGTGGTAAGGGAGGAGGATCAATTCTGTCGCCATGTGATATCGGAATGCCAATCGCAATTTTCGATCAGCTGCAGATCAAGATTAGTTGATGCACATGGTGCGGTTGTGTTTTCCTTTCTTGGAAAGCCTAGTGAAGGGCAGATGATGGTGCAGTTCTTTTTTTCTTGTCTATTGTTTACCCTTAATTTGTCCCTGGGCACGCGTGCGAGCTTGTGAGCTGTTACGAGATGATGGTGTTCGCTCTACCGAAATAATGTTAAAGAGAGAGAGTCGTATTCCTCCTTAGAGAGAGAGAGAGAGAGAGAGAGAGAGAGAGAGAGAGAGAGAGAGAGAGAGAGAGAGAGAGAGAGAGAGTGGATGGAAAAGTCGAAGGCGCTGGGTCGAGCGTTGTCTGTGCGTGTCTGCGAGGGTGGAAGAAGGCGTAACAGTTTCCTGGACCTTGGTCCCTTCTGCGGCGGCGTGACAGTTTTTCCGTCGTTTATGTATTGGACCGTGAGCAGGCAGGCCGGGTACGTCGAAAACGCGGCATTCGTGGTAACCAGCCGTTTCATGGAAGGTACTGGTGCCAGACCTGCAATGATTGGATTTACGAAAGTTATTTTTTGTTGATGACAACGTTGTGTTGATCGTATAGCCTATATATACGCACATATATCTATGTATATAATATGTATATACATCCCATGGGAATATCAATCCACAGGGGGTGTTTGTTGAAAGCGTGGATAGGAGGTTTCGTTATATACTTGGATATAGAATAGGAGACTGGTTTGGATGTTAGATAAGATGTGGACATCTTGAAGGTTTAGCTCCGCAATCCGGTTCCGCAATAGCAAATAGCGTACGTGTGTGTGTGTGTGTGTGTGTGTGTGTGTGTGTGTGTGTGTGTGTGTGAGAGAGAGAGAGAGAGAGAGAGAGAGAGAGAGAGAGAGAGAG